GGTAAACGTCAGCATAACTCATATCATTGAGGAAAAATTCTACTACCAGTCCTTCATCACCTTAGGCGAAATAAGGTGAATACATCTAATTACAGCAAAAGTAACGTCTGTCCTCGGCCACCACTATCATCACTCCGATTGCGCATGGCCGGACACACGTCTGGCTATGTTGATGAGCCATTTTTTTATCCTTATGTGAGGAGTGGACTAAAAGTATAGAGAAGTGACTATGATTAGAACGTTTTTTAACCAGAATCGAAGGAGATTACCTCGGAAACAACGTTAACTTGAATGCTACGGTAAAGCCAATCGTTAGCTGGTCAATAGAAATCCGCCGTCATCTTCAAGTGGAATCGACCTTCGTATCTCTTCATCAAACACTTTTACTCGAAATGGAAGTAAGCTCAACAATTACGAACCAAGAGATTTTTCGAAACCCAACTTTTCTTCGCATGTTATAAGCCTGCTAAAAGTGCTTTATGTATGTGGACACATAAGTATATATAATTGTTTATGCAAAAATGTCACATTTAGTTTATATTTCACATTTTTATTTCCTCTAGGCGTTTTTCTATGGAATACTCACCCAACTGTCCGTCATCTAATGGAATCTGTTATAAAGAAGTATGCTTTTTCACGCTATTTGTTGTTTACTTTATATTTATCCCCATAATTTTATACATTTTTAAAATTTGATTTAAGCTAAATTTTAAGGAGATAAATCTTTACAATTTTTTTTCAAGATTTGCTTAAACCAGCTATCCAAATTTACACAAGGCATTTACACAAGGCAAAAATGATTTATCTATTGTTTGTTTCACTTTTAGACTAATTTTGGAATTGATAATTTATTAATCGAAGCATCCGAATTTACATCTTTAATAAATCTTTATCTTTACTCATTTGACCAATAATATTATCGGTTTTCGCAAAGTCTGAGTCCTGAAAATAGCTTTCGTATGATTTTGATCGATGGTTTGAAGGCCATGATGGTGTAGCCTTTGTATGGTCGCGGTCTCCTATCGTTGTTTGATCTTGTTTTCGCGCCTTGTTTATATTGGCAGGAATACCTAGACAAGCGCATCTTGCCCAGAGTCCATAGTATTCATGATAATTTCCAGAGTCAGACCGTTGACTCGGTACATTCCAGACTCTGTAAATAACCATACATACTCTGGAGTCCGAATAAAGTGCGTTCCTCTAGGTCTTCCTGCCAATATGGCCAAGTAGCGAAAACAAGGTCAAACAACTACAATATTAATTTTGGGTATACATATATTGATAAAACTTTTTTGCACCATGCTAGTAAGTATCGAAGTATGGTAATGAGGTTGAATTAATGCAAATTCCTATTAATTTTTTAAAATTTAACGAAGATATTTTACATTATATAAATACCATACATTTGACACAGTAATTGATTAATTTCCATTATTATTTTGGGGTATATAAATATGCATATTAATTTTAGCTTATTTTTATTTGTATCTGTTTAAATCAGTTGGTATCTCTGTTAAACATTATTGGAGAACTTTGCTATTTGCTCAAAAAGTATTTATCTATTTATCTTGCCTTTCCTGATGACCACTTTAATTTAAATTTTATAGCTATGGTCAGAGTGATCCATTCTGCCTGAGTCAGCGAGAATTGGAAACGGATAGATTGGTAAGAATTTTATTATTGTTATCCAAAATGTTTTTGTACTCTGACTCGAGTCGTTTTTTCTAGTGTGATCTTATATAGAGAATAAAACGTTTTAAAATTATATATATTTTTAAAATGTAAATATATTTAAAAAACGAAACGTTTACAAATTGAAAATAGTCGAAAATATAAGTATTGTAAGAACGGTTAAGCTTATAGCCTCCTGACTTCGGAACTACGATCACCTACTTATTACATTTTCCCACTTTTAGCTTCATATGGTCACTAGGTTTGGCTTCCTTTCTAATCGCTAGTGCTGAGAGGTACCACCTAGCTCTTCCACCTGTGCCTCAATTATAGCATTCCCTTTGCTATTGGAATGTATTTCACCATATAAATAAACGGCGCTACTGTGTTTGTAGCAAGTTTGCCTCAAACTACATAATTCTTGAATAATAACTCGAATTACGATAGATCTTTTAAGGTGATGTATGGACTGATAGTTGAATTTGCCACAAAGAAAACCATAGGTCTCCCGATACAATTAAATCTAGCATAGGCATACCTCTTAAAGTGCTTTCTTATCTAGAGCGAACTGCAGTTTCGACTTCGCCTTGGTCTCTTAAATTTTTTTAGGGGACTTGAGTCTATATTGTGCATATAATGCGGCTACATTTCACCCCGTCACAACCACATGTATCAATGAGCCTCAGGGTAAATTTAGCATTCACTGTAAGCCGGAATTTTTCCAATCACATTTATATTTAGACCTGTGTCGATAATGCCAAGTTGTATCGAGTACAAATAGGTTTCGAGGCTATCAATAATTATTAAATAAGGACTTAACATAGGTCGCTTACAGTTATTTAACGGGTAAGTTGAATTTTTTTAAGAACGAGATAAGGCCATTGAATTTGACTTATACTTGACCTTCAAAAGCGCCCCCAATCCTTGAATAAGAATTTAATCATTCTAAGTCTGGCACTCGGAGATGAGTGGAATGGTAACGTCTCCAAGATTTGACTCTCTATTGAATCCGGTTGAGGATGCTAATGAGGACTAGGCGGTGTCGAATGTGCAGTCAACTCTGGATAAGATAGGCTTATAAAAGGTAAGATTAAATGAAATTAAATGGTTTCTTTATATTTGTGAATCTCATTGTAGGAAAGCTTAACTATCAGTCTTCAAATCACCTTGATCGATTTAGGGTTACAATTCTCTAACTCAAAATTGTATTTTGTCTCATAGTGAATGACAATACTCTTCTTTAGTAAGCTTAAAATATGCATTATATTTTGAATCAAAACACATTTCATAGGAAATTGGATGATCTGTCCATAAGCGATTGATACTTGTTCCTATATTATAATAAAATATTCGAATTACATTTTGATGTAATATGTTAGCTGAATTTATTTTGTAAACCTGCATCCTGTATTTACTCTTTAAGATAAGTAAGATAGATAAGATATTTTGGAGGTTCTTTAAATTGGCTCATACATGAGTTGAGGGGTATTCATTCGAAGAGTAGCGTTGTATCTTGTTGATAATTCGTTGTCATCTTTATTATAAAAATTGTGGCATTATTAGGTCATCTATTATACAATATCATTCTATTGATTATACTTTTCCTGGTTTTGTCATATTTTACTATCATCTTATCTTTAATATTGCTATAATGCACTTTATGTGTCATATCTTAGTGCTTATTATTTAATTTTGCCTCTTGACACTTACTCATAATGATCCTATTTGCAAAAATTTACACTTATTTTCTCTGTATATATTATTCCCCTATTTATCGTTTCGTCCCCCTCTTTATCTTCTATTTTTCGCGGATTTTTACTATAGAATACTTTAATAGAGACAGATCTTATTCTTCAACTTGAAGCTCATCTCCTTGAGGTTGCTGTTCCATCTTCTGGCCTTGCATCTGCCTGTCCTCGTCTCCTCGGTCGGCTTGTGCGTAACCATCCGCAAGGCCCAGTGCGTCAGGTCCCAGCAATCTGGCTCAACGAGCTTTCTAAACGCACAGATCGGCTGTGTTTAGCTCGCCGCCTCTGTTCTACTCGACAGCCAGACTTTTTACTTCAATTAGTTAGGGCTCAAAGTAAGTCTTAGATAGCATCTTCTACCAATTTTTCTAAATATCTCTACAGTTAGTTTCTTTCATTCTTGTTTCGCGTAATTCAATCCAACCATTGTTATGACCTTTTATATTTATTCTACGACATGCCTTCTATTAATAATTCTGATTCGTATTTCTTAACATTAATCCCATCCTTGCTGAAATTAAGCGTTCTGTTAATAATAAGGCATCTAATTTGAAAGCTTATTTCCTATTCATAAATTTGGGAAAATTACTACCATTGTCAGTGTATCCTCCTTATTGCAACCTGGTCTTAGCTTCAGGAAAACACTGCGAAGAAAGTACCTAGTGTGGCGTCGTCTGAGAAAGTGGCTATGAGTATTTTTATAGTCGAATCGTGGACGATTCGTCTGCATCGTCAGTGGACCCTGCTATTCTTAGAACCAAGCCAATAATCGTCAAAATGACGAGTGAAGTCGAACTGCTATTGAATTTCTACTGAATGATAGCGATTTATCCTTTCCTGGTGTATCAATGTATCCCATATCTCCCTATCTCACGCTAAGGATGCTGCAACCAGTATAGAAGCCATTTATTAAACCGCGGAAGAAGATAATCAAACTTCGCTGAATACAATCGGACGAAAGCATTTGTAAACCAATTATGGTGTTTGATCTTTTTTTAGTCGTTTTAAACGTCTTAGTATTACTCTTTACTTCCACGAGCTAATGAAGAATTTTCATTTGGACACGGTAACTATATTTCTTCACCTGTCTCTGTCCTAAAATTATATTACATCTGAGATAGGATTAAGTTATTCAAGTTTTTAGATATTTGATTAATATTGATTCGTGATCTAGCCAAAATTTTCTCCTCGAATACATCATGACAAATCAAAAGTCACAAAGGATCTTTCATCTGATAACTAGGGCACATGATAGGAAAGTGCATAAATATGAGGTTATAATAAAGTACGAGATTAACGAAATCAGCTCAAATGTTGTGGTTTTCAAATTGATATTGCTTGTAAATTCAACTGACGACGGATATAAATGATTGAATTTGTCCTCATTTTCCGTTAACTCTGAAACCCTTGAGATCCCTCTAAAATAAAAAAAACGTTTTACTTGACATCGTTCTGCAACAAGTTCCAGGATGAGACATGCGGAAAATTAAGATAAGAATAATCTCGATCCTTTTAGCAAATTAAGGTTATAATTTTGTAGATTAACGAGGATACAGGAAAAATTAAAATTGAATGACCAAACAAACCTTCAGACGGATTTAAAGGAAGTGACGATGGTAATATGCAAACAACAATACTCAGAGAAATCATACATTTTACTATCAAACAACAGCCTATTGGGTACTAAGGAAGACCCACATCACAAGATATTGAAATAAATGCAAATGAACGGCGAAATCGATAGATGGCCGATAAATTCATTACTAAGAGAGGACGCTAAATCATGAGTAGCCCCTAAATCACTTAATATACGCAACAAAA